AAAACACATGAAACTTTTGCTACTTTGCACATTATGGAACTCAGCTACACACAGAAAAACTGTCACTGACATGTGGAATGAGGGTTTGCAACAAACTCCTTAAACTCTGCCACGCATATGTGTCTGGGTAGAAAGATGTATTTTGTTTCAGTTTTGCCTACAGATTTAGGAACCTAAAAATGTGTGTGAATTGCAGCTGTACTATCATTTCCATGGGTGATGCTGAACTCGAAAAATTTCATGTTTGTGGTTCACAAATCTCCAGTTATAACCCGGTGTCTATGACTTTACAGTTTGTGGCCACAGAAATAATTGTGATATTGTCAATTGAGAACTCTGATTTCACTGAGGGACAAAAATATAAGAAGCTGGGCTTTGGGGAGGGGCAAACACATAGATCATGTGTAAAGATTAAAATTAGGTTTATATAATACTGATAGATCACACACTGAATAGATTGTGAACTAGGTGACAAACTGTAGCTTTCAATGGGAATTCAGCATCAAATGGGAGTGATTCTAGCAGGGTTCCCCCGGGATTGGTATAAAGCTCAGTGCTATTTCACGTTTTCAGTAATGATCTGGAAGTAAATAGAAAATCACTGTTGATAAAATTAATGGATGACCCCAAGACCAGCAGACTGATAAATAATGACTACAATACAGCTGTCATACAGAGCAATCTGGATCATTTGATAAACTGGGTCCCATTCAAAACAGCCACATGGAAAGATACATACCTATGATCAAGGAACACATGTCATGCCTATAGAAAGCACCTTGAAAAGCAATGACTCTGAAATTGATTTAGGGCAATGACTCAAATGGATTTAGGGCAGGAGTGGGCAAATTCCAGCCCATGTGCCAGATCTTGTCCACAGGGTTGTCCGTGGCTGGCCCCCCACCTCCATGTTTAACTGTGCCTCCATAGGTATCGAAGAATCACAGCTCATTTTGGGATGTTAAAATTTGACTAAATTGACTATTTGTTTAGTCGATAAGGGCACTTCTGCTTTGAAATGTAGCAAGAGCCACCTAACTGTTGCTACATTTCAAAGGCAAAAGTGCTGCGCAGAGGTTCACCTTTGAAATGTTCAAGAGCCCAGCAGGCGCTCTTGTGCATTTCAAAGACTGAAATGCTGCATGGAGGCTGGTGCTAGCAGGGAGTCCTGCTGGGGTTCTTGTACATTTCAAAGTGGAAGCACCACATGGAGACTGGGGCCAGTGGGAGACTCAGACTGGATGCCTTTCTAGAAGATATGGTTTAGCCAAACAAACTCAATACACAGATAACTGGCTGAAACTTAATGGACTTGTGATGTACAGGTAAACTAGATGAGGTAACGATCCCTTCTGGTTTCACACTTTATGAACACATGAACAATATTTTGAGCCATTTTAGAAATGTAAGGCATATAAAAGGTGCCAGAGTGACATTTGAAAAAGAAAAGGTTTTGTGTCTAAAGACGACTACAATATAGGACAAAAAAAACAACAAATGGTCTGGTAGCACTTTATAGACTAACAAAACATGTAGATGGTATCATGAGCTTTCGTGGGCACAACCCACTTCTTCAGATGATGTTATGAGTAGGGGATATGAAAACTCAAAATAAATAGAAGAGAAGCGGAGGGGAGGAGGGAGGAAAGAAGGGGGAGAGGGTAGAGAAAGATGCTCTGTCTCCCACCCCCCCTTCCTTTTTACTGGAGAATGGGTGTTAGACCAAAGCAGATAAAAAACAGAGTCAGTAGACAGATTGCTAAGGCAGGAAGGATACCATTCAGAAAGCTGTTAGCACCTCAGTGATAAAGTCCCTACCATCCGAAATCTCGATTAAGCCCAGTAGCATGTGAATTGAATTTGTGTATGTAATGTAATTCCAGGCACTTAAACATCACAAGTTTTCCACATCTGCCTTCCTGCTTGTTTTTATTCTGGCATGAAAGCAACATTTCTAAGGGTAAAAGAATCTAATACTGATCTTCTCTACTTAACATTAATTGTGATGACAACTGTAGATATATGGACATTTGTTCACTAGAAACTGGACTGAGATCAGCATATAATATGTCAAAGACCACAACAGGTTGAACCTCTCTAATTCATCACTTCTGGGACCTGAGTGGTGCTGAACCAGAGAATTTGCTGGACCACGGGAGGTCAATTTTGTCTAACAGCATTACCAACATTTCCACTGCTTACTGGACTCTTAGGAAGCCACGGATATTGCTGGATCACAGTGTGCTGGACTAGAGAGGTTCAACCCCGTATTAATCGGAACTGGATCTAAACCTGCCACAGAAATTTAAAAAACACAAAAAAAACCCCACACCTTTATTCTATCATCTAAGCCACATATATCCATCAGTAATTTATATTTCCTGATACAGTATATTGCCAAACGTTCCTTATTATAACTGGTTATTTATTCTGGCTACCAAGGAAACCAGTTAAAAGTTTAACCCATGCCATCAAAACATAAACAATTAACATCTTTGGCAACAATATTTGTTATGGTTTCTTCAGGATATTTAAACACTCACCTGTGCCTTTGCCAATTTTTTTTCCAGCAGGTCCCGTTCCCTTTCTGTTTGCTGCAGACGTTTATTAAGCTCTACTATATCTCCCTTTAGCGATGCCAGGGCTGCTAAATGGAGCTGTAAAACAATCAAAATGGATCCAGGTTAAACTTGTCTACCAATGTACCACTTTTAATGTAGCACTACCGTAATCTACTGGGAGGCATCAGTGTGATGCCTAGTGCAAACTTTCACATTTGAGAACTTCTAAAACACAAAATGGAATATAGTAATCCACATGCCGCTGAATGCCTTTTCCTGCAAACACTCCAACAAGGAGCATATGCTGTACTGAGAAAGAACACATATGACATAAGTAAATATAATGTAGTATAAGTTGGAATAAAAGCTATCCCAGAAGATACTAGCCCAGAGACCTGTGTTATAAAAGAAAGTGCAGCGTTCTTTCATCCACTTGAATGATTACAGACATAAGAGCCAGGGCCAGCCCACAACATTTTGGCACCTGAGGCAGGGAGCTCAAACGACACCCCCTCGCTTGGGCCAAAACTTTGAAAGGTCTCAATTCTGATTTCTTCCTGTTCTACTCCTCTCATGGCACTCCATCTCTGTGCATCTAGGGCAGAGAGAATACATATGCACCAGCAGCAGATATTTTCTACACTCTGGGTCCTAGTGGCACCCCCACCCCCAGTCTGGCGGCCGCCTCTGTTTGCCTCATGGTAAGGCCAGCCCTGATAAGAGCCCATGTAACCCTCCTATAGAGAACAATGCAGATATGGCATTCAAGAGTTCATAATTTTACTTTGAGAAATACAAATTCCACTTACAGAGCTACTATTTTGCAGTTGTCTGAGAATTTTTTCCTAAAAACTCACTTTGTTGTTTAAAATCATTAAACAAAGCTTTACTGAAATTGTAACTGAAGGACCTAACCTGCATTACATTACAATTCTAGATAGTTTATCTAGCTTGAGTGATCATACTAAAGGCAAAGTCCTATCCTTACAATTCGTAGTTATTTGGTAGATCCCAGAGATATTTTACAATTTCAAAGTGTGAATTCCAATACTCTTTTAATGCTTTTCAATCTTCACTGTATGTCTTCTGTGTATCAGTATTAAGGACTCTTTGCATTCCCCTCCCCCCAAATAAATATGCAATTCCTAACTTAATATTGAAAATTAAAATTAAGCACATCCAGCTATAGAGAACATGCTACTAATAACTAAATTGAAGAATGGAGAAAACACCCAGAATAGAAAACAATAAAAACAGAACAAAAAACTGGATGCAGATGGAATACAAGGCATATCCCCAACTTATTTGATGTCATGTGCACATTTACAATTACTAGGAAAATTGTGGCAAATGAGCAATCAACTTCAATTTCTACTTTAAAAAAATTAGATTGAAAAATCCTCCCCCCTTTCCTGCATTTAGTTACCCCATTCATAGTTCAAGAGGCATACCTGGGAGGTCGACAAATGCCTTTGATGGCGACCGCGGAACGTCCAGACTACCGCGCTGAGCCGACAAACAGCTGATCGGCTCAGTGCGGCAGCCATTTAAATTTAAATGAAGCGGTGATTATTTAGACTACCCTGCATAGGAAAATGAAGCGGTGATTTAATCTACATGCCTCTGTTCCCAGGGGCATGTAGTCTAGACATACCCTTAGTCTGCTGCCATCTATATCTATGCCAGCCAATGGCAGAGTATTCCATCCCCTCTAGTTCTGGTCCTCAGAGCAGGGGCAAGCAAGATCAGGCACACAGGCCGCATGTGTTCTGCCAAGTCTTTTGATCCGGCCTGCCCCACCGAGACTCCATGGTAGGCAGCCCGCCTGCTGTAGCCCAAGGCTGTTCAAAATGTTGGACAGTCACGCGCCTCTTTCTTTTATTTATTTTTTTTATTTTGGGGGGAAGAAACAGCCAATGGGTGCTACATTGATTGGCTGGCGGAGGGAAGGGGACAGAGAGCACACAAAATCTCTCCCCTCCTCACCAGGGGTGCTCTGTGCCATGTGTTACATAGAGGGAACCTCAACTGTTTTGAGCAGCCTGGGGCTGTAGCAGGCAGGCAACCTGCCTCTGGGTCTCTGTTGGGTTGAGTCAGGAGTCACCTTAGTAAGTGCCTCCCGAACAAAACCTGCCTCTAATACCCCATCTCTTCCTGCTTCCCAACTCTGCACCCCAGGTCACCACCAGTGTTCCCTGTAAACTGCCCAGCAGCACAGCTTCACAGTTGATTCATCAGCCCTGCCCAGTCAGAGGCTCAGAGCATGCAGCTGACTGACTGGGTGGGGCTGATTAATCACCTGTGAAGCTGTGCTGCTGCAAAGTTTAGAGGGAACATTGGTTACCACCCTCTCCTACTTCAAGTCACCACCCAAACCCTCTGCCTCCCTCCCAGACCTGGATTCCCTCCTACATCCTCCCCCAGGCCAGAATCCTCTGCACACCCTGCACCCAGGTCACCACCCAAACCCTGTGCACCTCTTCTCCCAGACCCTGCATCCCCGCTTACACCTCTCCCCCAGGTCAAAATCCACTCCTGCATCCATACCCTCTTCCTGGATCCAAATCCCCAGCTCCAGCCCATAACCCACTCCTTCACCCAAACTCCCTCTCAAACCTCACACCCTCTCCTGCACCCCAAACCCCTACCCCAAGCTCTCTTCTCCACCCAGCCTCTATAACAGACCCCGCACCCCTTCCATAGAAAACTGCAGCCCTTGACCACTTACCAAAAATCTTGGAATGGCCCCCTCATCCAAAGTTATTGCCCACCTATGCCGTAGATGGTGACAACTTACTATTGCTATCAGTTACTCTGGTAGCTCAAGTGGCAGAGAGGTCTGTGTGGTAGAGCTAAAATTCTTGTAGACTAAAACAATGTGATCTTGTAGTTAAATACTATCATTATGCACATGCACTAGGAGGTTAAATAAGGCTGTGCAGGCAACCTTAAGTTTGCTATTTCCTAACTTTAAGTGTGTGACTTCATGTAGGCCTTGCATGAACAATGAAAGAATAGTAGTAAGGAAATGGGTTAACAATGAAAAAAGCATAAATTCATAAACAGCCTTGTAAATAACATGTCGTTAGTAGATAAAGAAATAGTAATAAGAGTAATGGGTGATAAGTTGCAGCTACAGGTCTACTTATTAGTACACTCTGCAGCTCATGAGCTGTACAGGGATTGGTTCAAAAAATTAGCAGACCAACCATAAAGGGCAAGATGTATTAACACCCATGGTGTTAAGTGTCTATATAAGCCAATTCATAATTATGTATGTTGGACGTGTGGTATTCCCTGAGCCCACCTCCTATGCTTGAGCCTGATCAACTCAAGTGTTCGATTGTATGACAACGAGGAACACGCAGTGATGAGTCCAGAGTTGAACTGATTTCTTGGATTCCAGACGACTGGGCAAAGTGTTCTGGATAAGATGAGTAGAAAAACTCTTAAGCTTTGTCTACACTGCATGGTTTTTGCTCAAGAAGCCTTTTGTGCCAGAGTTCTTGCACAAAAATGCACCCAGACCTCAAAAGGCATCACAAAAGTGATGTGCTTTTGCAAGAGAGTGTCCACACTTCATGGATAATCTTGTCCAGGAAAGCTCTGAAGGCCATTCACAGAATGGCCATCAGAGCACCTGTGCTTTTTCCCCCATAGGGGTTTCTTGTGCAAAAACTCCTCCGGAGCGTCCATACCTGTCTTTTTGCACAAGAGCTGTAGAGCAAAAAGGAGTTATTCCTCGTGGGGAGAGGAATAACTTTACCGGCAAAAGCCGATTTTCTTGCGCAAAAACCACGTTTTGAGGTGTGGATGCTCCGCTATTTTTTGCACAAAAACCTTGTAGTGTAAACATAGCCTTAGAGAAAATCCCAGCATTGTGCAACCCTAATGCTTCTTTAAACACAATTTTGGTATGTGTGTATACACACACACGCACACACACACACACAAGCCTAATTATGCTGTAGAAATTGGGTCCCTTCATGCAGTATGGAAACCTTCTTACTTGCCCAGTTGGACACAGGAGAATTTATTTTTCAAGCACTGGGTTACACTTTTTACACTATGCACTTTGGACACTCTTGCTATAGAAATGGTCACATCTATACATTTCTTATCTTATGACTTTTTTCCCTTAGTATTAGGTTATTGGCTCTTCTAATTAGTGCTCAAACAAAGTAATACCACACATACTTCTTTAAAAAAAAATCAGGGAAAAATCTTTAGTTTTTTACTAGCACTACTACTGAGTACAATAAAGTGCATCTGTCTCACAAAACTATTTAACACACACCCCTCTCCCAAGCTACAATTCCCTAAATTGTATAAAATCAGTGTGTGTCAGCCAAGTAAGTATCTCTTCCCCTTCGCACATAATTCTTCAATGACTACCAGCTGTGGTCCTAATTAAGTAACAGGCCAACAATGCTCACATACTGAATGGCAGCATAAAAAGACACTGTTCATTTCAAATTTTACATTTAAACTCCCTGGGCTTCCTTATCAGTGTTAACATCTAAGAGTACCAATATTGAAAGCATATTACATATTTCACCATTTATACGGTTTACTTTTTAGATGTAATTCACTGTGACCAACAAAAATAGTTTCATATTTCTTAGTCAATTTGTATCACAATGCTGCAAAGTTATGATTGTTCTAAATTTCTATTACTACTAGTTTAAAAAACATATGTTTATTATTCTGTAAAACCTTATATTTATTATTCTGTTTATAAAACTTAAATTTTGGACTTCCTTTAACCAAAGAACCCCCCTTTCCCTTATAAAATTTAATTTTATTGACACTTTAGTATCATACAAAGCCAAATGTATACCAAATAAGGAAGGAAAAACCCCAAAATACTGAAGTGCTCTGCTAGAAAATATTACATCAAGCCAAAACAGGACACAAGGTTGAACACCTATTAGCAGGGCTGGACAATCTATGTAATCTAATCGCCCGTGGCGAGTAGATTACAACCCGGAAGAGCCGGGTTTAGGCAATCTGCGCATGCGCAGATCGCCAGACAGCACAGCTGGCGAGCGGGGCTCGCTGCGGCTCAGTGAGCCCTGCCTATTAGAACTTACATA